GATGTTCAGAATTCGATTTGGTTCTCATTTGATTCTTTAGTTGTTTCTGCTATTAGGTCTTCGCATTATACTCCATCATATGCAGCAGAGGGCGCCAACAAATGTTTATGATCAGTTGACGGCTCTGCGCTTCCATTAACCGAGTTTCCATTGTAGAACATTAGACGATGCAGTTATTAAGTCGATCATCGACTTGTACACACACATTGCCCTATGCCAGGCAGGTATACTGATGCACGTTTCGATGCTCGAAGGTATTTATAGCAGAATTATGATTGTTTGTACGATAGTGCACAGTTCATTTTATGATCAGATTTCAGCTAATCGGGCAGGCAGTCATTTCTTTTGAAATTCATTCGACGTCTTTTATATTGCTGTTTCTGTCGAACATAGTGAGGTTTTGTTGGCTTCATATCTTTTCCCAGCTGAGATTTGTTCTGCAAGTGATTGATAGGTGTAGCGAAATAATTGGTGTAATTTTTGTTTCTTTGCATGTCTTATATTTTTTGTTTCTTGATTGCAATCATGATTTTTCATTGAAATAACGGATCATCTGTCATAAATTACTCTTTTGCAAATGGTGAAAGTAGTTTGCTAAAAAAGTTTAATCTAATTTATTTTCCTCTTGTGGTATCAGTTTAAAGTACATATTTTATGCTGTTGTCTGATCTGCAGAAAATTGCTGGTTTCGTTTAGGCGTGCAATGCGTGAAGTTTTCTGTAAGTTGTGATATTTTCAATTGCTTGTTACATTCTAGTGCGGAGCGCTGAATTTGACGGAGGAGGAACTGCGACTGTGTGAAAAAGAGGGAGTGCATTTGCCTCTGCATTATCCTCTGAGCAAGGTGAGATATTGTGGCAGTAACCGAAATTTTTCTTCAGCTAATGGTTTGAACTTGGGGTTTTCAGTATGTAAATGTGGGAGCAATTAACTTACCTTTAAATGCAAAAGTAACTGCGCAAGGTTGAGCAGCAAGGCTTTACTGGCGTACACTATTTACAGTTACCGGCTTTCCTTGCCTGGTAGTGAACAGTGT